AACTACTTAGCCACATCCCCAGCCCTTTTTAATATTTTATTTAGAGACAGGGTCTTGCTGAGTTGCTTAGATTGCTGAGGCTGGCTTTGAACTTGTGGTCCTCCTGCCTCAGCCTCCTGAGCCACTAGGATTACAGGTGTGCTGGGATTGCAGATGTGTGTCACTGCACCCGTCAGTGATCCACTTTCTACCTCCCCCACATCCCAAACACTCACATGGCAGAACTCTGACTCTGTAATTTCAAGCTTTTCCAACATTAAACTAACAGGAGAAAAAGAGACAGGAGAAAAATTAGATTAAAAAAAAAAAAAAAGACTCTAAGGTCACATCTCAATGCTGCTTCACTTCAGAATCAATTTTTTTTTATTTTTTATTTTTTTTTAGTTGTAGTTGGTCACAATACCTTTATTTTATTTATTTTTATGTGGTGCTGAGGATTGAACCCAGGGTCTCGCACATGCTAGGCGAGTGCTCTACCGCTGAGCCACAACCCCAGCCCCAGAATCAATTTTGGATTCAGAAAGATGTTAAGAAGCTACCCAATTTAGAAGTACTAAGTACTTAAGTTAGCACCACATAATGAATAAATAAATAAATAAAAGAGAAACTGCCCTCAGTCCAAAAGTCTTCAAGGAATCCTATAACCAACCATATAAGTAAGTGTGGAAGTAGATTTAAATTATTTTAGTTTAAAATTATGTCGTTTCTTGAGCACTACAAAATATTTCATAGTACTCTGCTTTTCTTTCTTCAATTCCCAGGTATGGAAGGCAGCCTCTAAATGTGCTCCCCAAAATCTCTCCCTCCTGGTAGTCACCTCTTCCTCTTTAGTATGGGCTGAATTCAGTGATTCTCTTGTAACAGAATGTAGCACAAATGAATATGAATTCTAAGACTAGGTTAGGAAAAGACTAGCTTCCTCTCAGTTTGCTTCTTCTAAGGAAAGCTAGGAAGCTGCTATGATATAAGCTGTCCTATAATAGATGGGACAATATGTGACAAGGAACTGAGGAAATACCATCAGCAAAAAGTCATCAACAGGTGAGGGAAGAACAGAAGGTCACTGGATTAGACAAAGGGGAACGAAGGGAAGGGAAAGGAGATGGGAATAGGAAGGACAGTAGAATGAACTGGACATAATTTCCCTATGTTCATACATGAACACACGACCAGTGTAATTCCACATCATGTAAAACCACAAAACTGTGAAGTTATACTCTATGCATATATGACAAAATACACACTACTGTCGTAAAAAGAACAAATTAAGTTTCGGGGTAACTTGTTACACAATAGATAATACAGATTTGTGCAGTTTTTCTAACAGAAATGTAAAGTTTAGGGATCTAGGCGTATAGCTCATTGGCAGAGTGCTTACTTAGCATGCAAGGAGTTCCTAGGTTCAATTCCCAGCAGCACCACACCACCACACCACCATTGCCACACACACATAAAAAAGATGGCTTTGACTTTAGAAGATGGGAATGGCTTTGAGGAGAGTTTTAATGCAAGTTTAGTGTCCTGAATGTGCTATTTATAGAATTTTGGACTAACTAGGGTTGCCAATGAGAAAAATCTAATTAGAAATGGAATTAGGAGGGGCTGGGGCTTTGGCTCAGCAGTAGCGCACTTACCTGGCATGTGTGAGGCACTGGGTTCGATTCTCAGCACCACATATAAATAAGTCTATCAACAACTAAAAAATTATTATTATTATTATTATTAATTTTTTAAGAGAGAGAGAGAATTTCAACATTTATTTTTTTAGTTTTCGGCGGACACAACATCTTTGTATGTGGTGCTGAGAATCAAACCCGGGCCACACGCATGCCAGGTGAGCGCGCTACCGCTTGAGCCACATCCCCAGCCCCTAAAAAATTATTTAAAAAAGGAAAAAAAGAAATGGAATTTGGAGATCCTTATAATGTAATGGCACAAAACTTACCAGCAACATAGTCCAGTTAGTGAAAAGCAGAACATGTGCCTAAGTAATGAACTGGTGATCTGGCTAAGGAGATTTCCAAGCAAAGTCTTGAACTGTCACCTGGTTTCTTTTTCTTCTTCTGTTTTGGTGGTTCTGGGATCAAATCCAGGGCTTCATGCCACAAGGTAAGGATTCTACCACTGAGCCACATCTCAAGCCCAATGGAAGACTTAACAAACAAAAAGAAGCCAGGATTTGGAAAGTTTCAAAACTTCTGAACCTTGATAGGGCATGGTGGTGCATACCTATAATCCCAGCCATTTGGAAGGCTGAAGGAGGAGGATTGCAAATTTGACTCCAGACTTGGCAATTTAGCAATTGAGACTCTGTTTCAAAATAAAAAAAGGACTGGGAGCCGGGTGTGTTGGCACACGCCTATAATCGAGCAGCTAGGGAGGCTGAGGCAGGAGGATTGAGAGTTCAAAGCCAGACTCAGCTAAAGTAAACGACTGAGACCCTGTCTCTAAATAAAAATACAAAATAGGGCTAGGAATGTGGTCCAATAGTTGAGCGCCCCTGAGTTCAATCCCCAGTACAAAAAAAAAAAAAAAAAAGGACTGAGATATAGCTCAGTGGTAAATCACCCCTGGGTTCAACTCTTGGCACAAACAAACAAAAAATCTGAAACTTTTGAGACAGCAATCAATGCTAAAATTAAGAAATTGCAGCAGGGCACAGTGGCACATGCCTGTAATCCCAACAGCTCAGGAGACTGAGGCAGGAGGATCACAAGTTCAAGGCCAGCCCCAGCAATTCAGCAAGGCCCCAAGCAACTTAAGACCTTATTTCAAACTTTGTACCCCTGGGTTCAGTCCCTAGTACCCACCACCACTCCCCTACCAAAAAAAGGAAAAATTACTCAGCTGCCAAGCCAAGCCAAGAGACATGAATTATTCTCTTACCTTGAGATCTAATCAAAGAAACGCCAACATTTCCTGACTTTCAGAATAGCGAATGCATCAGTTAACTTCTTTCATGCCTCCCATAACTCCTCACCACTTTTTTTTTTGGAGAGGGGCACATGGGGCCTGAACCCAGAACCTCACCTCATACATTAGCCAAGCCAAGCACCTTACCACTGAGCTGTACCCCAGCATCCCCTAACTTTTGCTACTGGGGATCAAACCCAGGGGTGCTCTCCCTCTGAACTACATCCCCAGCCCTTTTATTTTGAGAAAGGGTCTTGCTATGTTGCTGGGGCTGGCCTCAAACTTGTGATCCTTCTGCTTTAGCCTCCCAAGTAGCTGGGATTACAAACATGCATGACCATGCCCAATTTAACTTGTCTTTGTAGTTTCACAGACTAAGAGCTCTGGTCGAGCAGCTGCGCTTAAGGAACTTAAACCCAGGGAACTCAGTCAATCTGGACCCAACTTGTATAACAAAATTCTGGGCTTCGATCCAATGCTAAAGGGATAACACTTTGGGAGATCTCTGGAGGAAGGAAATGTAGTTTGCACATAGAGAGATGTAAGTCACTTGGAGCCAGGAGCCAGACTGTGATATGCAGTTCCTAAAATAGCTCCTAATGATCCTTGCTCCTGGTATTCACATCCTTGTGTCATCCCTTCCTTTTGAGTGTGGGCTGCATTACTCAGTAAAATGAAGCACAAGTAATAGTATCCTATCAATTCTGTAATTAGGTTACAAAAAGATTATGGCTTCTGCTCAAGCATATAAGAAGCCAACTGCCATGCTCTGAGTCTCCCTCACAGAGAGACCCACATAGCAAAGAAGTGAGGGAGGCCCACAGTCCCTAGCCAGCAAAGAACTAAGACCTTCCAGTTCAGCAATCCACAAGGAACTGAATCATGCCAATAACTACACAAATAAGCTTAGAAGCAAATCCTCCCAGTCAAACCTTCAGACAAGACTCTAGCACCAGAAATAGCTTGATTGCCACCTCATGAGAAACCTTGAGCCAGAAGACCTAGTTAAGCTGCATCTGGTTTCCTGACCGTGGAAACCACGATGTATATTTATTATTTTAAACCATTCAGTTTTAAGGTAATATATGACTCAATAGATAACAAATACACTAGATAATAAAATTAAGTCATGATCTTTACACTGGACCCTTCTGAAAAACTGACTCTTCATTATTTTCATCACCCAACAAAGATTTTTCCAGCCTTACATTTTTTTAAAAAAATATTTTTTAGTTGTTGATGGACCCTTATTTTGTTCATTTACTTATATGTGATGCTGAGAATCGAACCCAGTACCTCACACATGCTAGGCAAGGGCTTTACCACTGAGCCATACCAGCCCCCAGCCTTAAATTCTAAGTGAGAATTCTCACATTACCACCAGGAGATGAAGGGTTAGTTAGGATATGTGAGTGAATACCAGAAAGTCTGCACACACAGATCTCCCTTATCCCCACACTTTTCCAAATAGCTTAAGATGAGCTCTTAGGAAGGAGAACCTGCACAAATCCTAGTGAAGACCAACTAACAATGATCCACAGAAAAATAGAATTATGGAGGTTCCCAAAGACCTGAAGACAGAAAAGATAAGATACATGGAGAAAGGGCCAAAGAACCAACCTTGTATTTAGTATCTGCAAAGTCTCTGGAACTACAGGTGAGAAACTGGGGCCAGGAACAGGTGAGCCTTCACTGATTTCTTCCAAAGGTGGAGTCTGAGGTAAAACATCAGGACGACCGAGATGAACATCTGGAAAAGAAAAAGAATATTAAAAAAAAGAGAGAGAGAGAGAGAGAGAGGGAGGGAGGGAGAGAGGGAGGGAGAGAAATTAAGAAAGAAAGAAAGAAAGAAAGAAAGAAAGAAAGAAAGAAAGAAAGAAAGAAAGAAAGAAAGAAAGAAAATGGGGTAAGGGAAAAACTGGAATAAGTTGGCTTTTCCTGGATAGAAATGGGGAGTAGAATTCCTGGCCAAAGATAAGGTCTCAGAAGGGAGGGAAGGCATGCCCAATCACACGGGAAGCCCCAGCCCTGGCGCTGACCTGGCTCCACTTCCGCCTTTGTTGTCACTTGTGCTTTGTGTTCCCCAGAGACGGATGGCTGGGAAGTAATGCAGGAATTGCCGCTGGGGCCTGATCGCCGAGAGAAAGATGAGCCAGACCGAAACTTTTTGGAAGGAGAGGGCTTCACTTCAAAAGGGAAAGAAAGAGCCTACTTAGCACCCACTTCAGAAACCATCACCAAGACACAGATAAAAATTCCTAGTGTACCCAGGAGTTGGCACACACAGCCAAAGTTGTTCTTCTGAAGCAAAGGAGGAATAAGGGTTAACATCAATGAAGAAGGCTCTATGAATTACTATTTGGAGTGGGAGGTGTTTCATTTCACTTCATTTAGGAAAGAAGCAGAAAACTTAGAAGAAAGATGACACATACTCATCTCCCTCCCTTTCCCCTATATGCAACCTTGATAGTTTTGCTTCCACCTGATGAGATGTGCTCTTTTCTATAATTCCCTTGTTCTTTAGTAATATTCCCCCCACAACCTAAAAGATGTATGCACCCAACAGTGTAATTTATACTTATTTATGTGTCACTTTGAAAAGATAGGATTTTTCCATCCCCCATAAAACTGTCTGGCATGTTTAGGTCCTCTATATCTCACTAAAGGATTACTGATGTCTGATGAGGTGAAGGAAGGAAGAGCTGGAATTTACCATGGCAACAGCATGGATGGTTGGGGGGCGAGGAGCATATTGGCACTTCCCCCTGCCTTGTTTTACCCCTTGGAACCAAAGATTGAACCCAGGGGTGCTTAACCACTGAGCCACATCCTCAGCCCTTTTTATTTTTCATTTTGAGATAGGTAGGGCCCAAAGTTTCTGAGGCTGGCTTTGAACTTGCAGTCCTCCTGCCTCAGCCTCCCAAGTTGCTGGGATTACAGGCTTATATCACCATGCCCAGCTCTGTCTTTCTTTCTCACACATGTTAGACAAGCACTCTATCACTGAGCTACATCCCCATCCTTTAATTTTATCTTATTTTGAGATAGGACATCACCACACCCAAACTGGAACTTCTAAACCCATAAAGTTGAGGTTTTAAGCAGAAACCAGAAATGCTTCACCCACAGCAACTAGTCTGAGAACTGCTTGGTACCTGGGGCATGGACAGAAGATATAATACTGGTAACATCTTTGTCTATCACTCCCTGTACATAAAAGCCTGGCTCTGTCTGAGACTGCAGCATGGATTCTATATTCATAACTAAACATTTTTGCAATCCCACCAATTCCCCGGAAAAGGCCCTCACCTCAATGACACATGGAGGGAGAGCCAGGGGGAAAGCAGCAACTCGGAAACGACTGGGACAGACAGAGTGACTGACATAAAGACGAGAAGCAGCTTTCACAGGATGTAGAGCAGGAGAGGCCTTTGGCCTTTGCAGCTCCCTGACACAGGTGTCCTGCCACCCATCTCTTGGGGTAAGGGAGCCACTGGGGGATCATCTGGTAGAAGCCACTTACAGGGGATCTTCTTGAACACTGTGTTGCACATGAAGCGTTGGAACCGTTCAGCGTAGAAGCCTGGACGATGCACCGATACAGTGTCCTACAGAGCAGAAGAGATGGCTACAGAGTTAGAGAAAGGCCCAATAAAAGAATCTGAAGTCCAAGGAACATTTTCCTTTAGACCAAGCCCTGTCCAAAGGATAAAACCCCAAAATGAAATTGGGAGTGAGAGAGGCAAAAGTGGGGAGGAAGCCTTTAGCTGACTGCTACTCACCCCATCATGTACAAGTGCTTTCCAAGAATGCTCCAATTTCTTAACAAACCTGCAGAGAAAAATTAATATCACACACACTATTTCTGAATGAATGTCTAATAGGTTTTTTTCTCCTCCCCCAATTCTAGGAAGAGGCAATAATATAAAACCTTGAAAAGACAAAATCTGACAAAGTACTTCCACTCTGGTAAGCTGGCTTTCCAGAGAAAGGCATGGCAGTGCTTATTCAGATTAGAAATCAATGCCTTTTTTGTTTTTTTTTCACAGGGGGAGGTACTGGGGATTGAACCCAGGGGCACTTTACCACTGAGTTATATCCCCAGCCCTTTTTTGAGATAGATTCTCATAAAGTTGTTTAAAGCCTCACTAATATGCTGAGACTGGCCTTGAACTTGTAATCCTTTTGCCTCAGCCTCCTGAGTTGCCGGGATTGATTACAGGCATGCACCACTGTGCCCAGCAATCAATGCTTTTTCTATGTAAATCAATTATTCCTTCATAGGAAAGGGGCAGTTTATATGTCCTGGCAAATCAGGGACAATAATATTAATTTTAAATGGGCTGGGGATATAGCTCAGTGGTAGAGCACTTGCCTAGCATGCATGAGAGGCCCTGGATTTGATACCCAGCACTGCAAAACAAAAGAAAATAATATGAATTGTAAAAAGAGAGCTGGAGAAACAGATGGGCAAAACTGGAAATAGCAGTTGAAAGTGGATAATAATATGAAATCAGTAAGTCAAGTATTTTCCAGTCCCTATTAGTACCCAAAGTGTTATAGGAATAACAATGGGGCCTAACATTTCTAGCTTCTCCCTCATCACCACTTCACTATCTCTGTTGTTCCATAGGCTGATACCTTTATAGAACATTGATCCTCTTGTTTTTCCTCTGTGGGAAAGGGAATATGCTTCCAGCTATACTCCAATGTGGAGTATGACACATCTCACAGGTTTTCACAAAGAGCCAGGCAGATGGCATGTTCCACTCTGGTGCTTCTGAGGACTGATTCAGCTTTCCAGAGAAGGTATATATATATCATGTTTGGGAAGTGGTGGGGTAGGGAAGCCAGGAAGAGAGGTTAAATCAAGGAAGTTTAGAAAACCAATGGGTTAAACAGTCCAACGGCAACTCAAATGTTTTTGCTTTAGGAAGGGTGTGATGATAGACCCATCTAAAAAACATGAGTAGCTATCTGCATTTACTCTGTCTCCTACTTTGAGGTCTATATGTTTCTTACCTGTAAGACTGCAGAATATCAATAATGCCAATATAAAGCAGGAGCCTTTCCCCTTTACTGTTCCGGGCAGGGATGCCACCCATACTGGGGAAGACAAAAAGAAAGAATTAGAAAATCTGCTGGCTAGCAGGCAGAGGCTTCTCCTAACCCTAATTCAAATTAGAACATGGAACTCAGACCTAAACATAACTGACTCATTTTTCATAAACCATAAGAGAATGAAATCCTTCCTCAAGTCTTAAGAAACCCGTTTTAGTCTTCTCTACAATCTCCTTAATTATGTCTCCTACCCCATCAGAGACTGTAGAATCCCTATTACATAGCAATTTGGGGAATACTCCCCCAATTAACTAAACTTCCTAAGAACTTTCGTATTTTAACTTATGCCCACTAAAATATTCTTCTTCTTCTTTTTTTAATATTTTTTTATTTGTTGCTGAACCTTTATTTTATTTATTTCTTTATTTATATGTGGTGCTGAGATTTGAACGCAGTGCCTCACACACACCAGGCAAGCGCTATAGCACTGAGCCAGAACTCCAGCCCCAAGATACTCTTCTTAACAGTCATATTATAGGATACCTAAAGATACTTCGTGTATTTTACTAACATTAGTTAAATCATGATGCTAAGAAGATGCCTTACATTAAGAAGCCATTATTATAAAGTTATAATTTTCATATGTGTCTAAGACTCACTCTTTTCATCTTGAGTAGCTCACCTTCCCAGATGTACTATAAACCCCAAATCAAAGACCTCCTCCTTTCCTTTTATATTCTTTTATTTAAATTTTTTAAATTTATGACAGCAGAATTCATTATAATTCACATTACACCTATAGAGTACAGTTTTTCATATCTCTGGTTGTATACAAAGTATATTCACACCACTCTTGTCTTAATACACTTAAGATGGACATCTCATTCCATCATCCTTTTTCAACCTCTTGCCCCCTCCCTCCCCGTCCTGCTTAGGAAAGGTCTTCCTATGGTTCTATAAGCATTAATGTTGCTGGTTTGACTGCTGAAATCAAAGCTATTCTTTCTTTCCAGAATCCAAGTACGTTCCTTAAGGAAAAGTGCTGTGAGCTTGTGCTCACCTCCCTGGTACCCGAGCCTACTCACTGATCTTCTGTCTCCATGGTTCCACCTCGTCGAGCCTCGCCCTGGATGGATTCCATGGCTGTGGAGTAGAGAGCTTTTTGGGGAGCTGGTCTGCGCGTGTCAAATGAATATTGTGTTTCATTATTTAAGGGCTCTCGTTGTGCATGATCTATGTTGTGGATTGACATCAAAAGACTGTAATCCATTATCTTAAAACTCTGCAGCACCTAATGGAAAAAACAAGCAACCAAACAAATATGATATGAACCTTTGGAGGCATAAGGATTTTTTCAGGATTTCACAGCTTCATGATCTAATTATACTTGATAATGAACCTTCAGGGCTAACCATAAAATTGTCCATTGTTCTTCCTACTCTTTGGAGAAGAGAATATTAAGCTCTCTGGTCAGTCTTTAATTATACCCCTTTATCTTTCTCTCATTTGAGTAATGGAAATTAATTTTTCAAATCCCACTGCCAATCCACAGACACTCCTTGTATTTCTTCATGAAAATAACACTATATTCTCAAGGTAACAAGGAATATGTATTTGTGCTATAAGGAATCCACAATTAAAGTCTAAGTAAAAGCATACTTTATAGGGGCTGTGGGCGGTTGTAGCTCAGTGGTAGAGTGCTTGCCTAGCAAGTGTGAGGCACTGGGTTCCATTCTCAGCATCACATAAAAATAAATAAAGGTCCAGCAACAACTGAAAAAAAGTATTCTTTGTAACAGAGCAGACTTTAACCTATCAGCTTCAATTCGGTTCAAAATTTACTGAATCCCCACAATGTGTTATAGATATACACTTAGATATGTAGATACTTGATGAGTTTCTGGGCTGGGGTGTAGCTCAGTGGTAGAGTACTTGCCTACCAGGCAAAAGGCCCTGGGTTCAATACCCCACACCATGCACACACAGACATAAACACACAAAGGATTTCTGTCTTCAAGCATATTATAAATTTAGAAGGGCTACAAATGTAAATAAAGGCAATACAGTCTAACATATGCAACAAGAGAAGTATTTATGTGACAGAAAAGCACACATCTAATGGATTTATGAAGTAGAAATTGGACATAAAATAAGCCCAAGTAAATAAAGGCAGGAAAGAACGTTGCTAAAACTGGGAGCGCAAAACAGCACATTTTGTGCAGGGAGATATAATCTGTTATTGCTAGAACATAATATGCAAATACCTGGTGTAGAAGATTATGGGCAAGACAATGAGGGCACAATATATGTCATATTAAGAAGCCTGGTCTTGGGCTGGGGATGTGGCTCAAGTGGTAGTGTGCTTGCCTAGCATGCGTGAGGCACTGGGTTCGATTCTCAGCACCACATTAAAAAAAATAATATAAAGCTATTGTGTCCACCTAAAATTAAAAAATAAATACTAAAAAAAAAAAAGAAGTAGTAGTAGTAGTAGCAGCAGCCTGGTCTCCCAGGTCAGGTGGTACATGCCTGTAATCCCAGGAACTCAGGAGGCTAAGGCAGGGGTATTGCAAATTTGTGGCCAGTTGCAAGTTCAAAGCCAGCCTCAATAACTTAGGGAGACCCTGTCTTAGAACAAAAAACAAAAAAGGGATGGGGATGTGGCTCAGTGGTTAAGCACCCCTGCGTTCAATCTCCTGTAACTAAAAATAAAGAAGCCTGGGTATACTTCCAGTGCTGTGAAAACTCAACCAAAGGTATGCTGATAGAAGGATGAAGTAAAAGGAGAGGAAAACCTAAGGCTAGGATAGTTTTTTTTGTGCACAGTGTGAAAAAAACCTGTCTCCATTGGTTGAGTAAGTCTCCAGTCCTTGCAATTGAAGGATACAATCTAAAATAGACATTATCCTTGGAAGCAGATGCAGACTGAGCAAACAAAGGCAAGAATGGACAATATTCTGGACTGAGCAGAGGAAGATGATTTTGCAAAAGCAGTTAAAACAACAACAACAAAGAAAAATCAGTAGGGAAATGTTGACCGAAAGAAAAAGGAAATGATTTACAGTCAAATGCTGCAGAAAATTGAGAAGTATTCTACTCAGTATGTAGGTGGTCACTTAAAGAGTAATTCTACTGAAGTAGTGAGAACAAAAAGGGAGGACACAGTAGGTTAGGACAGGAGTAAGAGCTGAGAAAGGAAAAGGAAGCCTGGAAACATCATTAGTTAAAAGCGCTGAAAAAAAAAAAAAGTCCCCCCAAACTTAAGATAGAATAGATAAAGCTCACTTGCATGTAGAAAGAAAGTAGCCAATAGAGGTGGAATCTAGAGAAAGGAAAGGAAGGGATGAAGAAGGTCATGAAGAAATAAGAAGAAAAAAAAGAGATTTATTTATTTATTTTTGCAGTATAGGAGCCTGAAAAGAGGGCTTCATAAATGCTAGGCAATCTACCACTGAACTACATCCCAGCCTTTTTAAAAATTTTTTTTTATTTGTTGATAGATGTTTATTTTATTTATTTATATGTGGTGGTAAGAATCAAACCCAGTGCCTCACACATGCCAGGCAAGTGTGCTACTGCTGAGTCACAACCCCAGCCCTCATCCCAGCCCCTTTCATTTTTATTATGAATCATTCATTTATATATTGGTACTGGAAATTGAACCCAGGGTGTGCTTTACCACCAAGCTACATCCCCAGCCCTTTTTAACATTTTATTTTAAAATAGTCTCACCAAGTTGCCCTGATTGGCCTCCAACTTGTGATATTCCTGCCTCAGCCTCCTGGGTAGCTACTATTATGAGCGAGCACCACTGTATCCAGTAAAATTAAGAATTTTTAAGATACACTTACAAATTAGTTATGAGCATAGCACAAAGGGATGAAACAGGATATAAAATTAAGGTGTTGAGAAACAAGTTGGGAATTAGGAATTAGAAATGGTTTTAACAGAATGCCAAACATTTGAAAATCCCTGTTGAGAGGAACAGGAAATGAAATGATGAGCAATACTGAAGTTCTAGGTAGAAGTGAATACCATAAATCTATAGATATGCCAGTTTACAAAGTTGTGTGATTCTTCTTCAATAGCACTCGGCTTCTAAGATACAAATTTGGATTTAGCAGACAAAATCAAAATCTGGGGAATGATGGTGCTAGTGTGAAAGTAAGTACAAAGTTTGACTATAAGACCCAGGCTATCTAGAGAAGGCCCAGTGAGAGGATAAACAGAAATTACAAATGGAAAGGCATGGTAAATTTAAAAGTCATTTTAAATGAAGTCTAGAACATGGAACTAAGGAATAGAGTTCCATCTCCCACAGACTCAGTCTCAAAGAACCAAGTTGTTTTTTTTTTTTAATATTTCTTTTTTTGTTGTAGCTATTATTTTGTTTATTTATTTATTTATTTTATGTGGTGTTGAGAATCGAACTCAGTGCTTCACACATGATAGGTGAGTGCTTTGTCACTAAGCCACAACCCCAGCCCTTCAAAGAACCGAGCTGCTTCAATTTCTGAGATTTTTTGATGTCTGAGAGAAAGGTAAATATGGCAAACTCACCAAACAGTCACGCTGCAGGGTCTTACAAAGAGCATTGTACATGTCAGCATCCAAAAAAAGACCATCGGGGATGTCTTGTAGGAAGTCCAGGTCTTTATAGGTGGGGAGAACCTTCTCTCGCTCTTTCTGAGAAGCCCGTCGTTTATATGTTGAGCCCTTGAGGTCATATTTCATATGCATCTTGACTGACCGAGGTAAAAGATTGTTCATCACCACAATTCGTATGTTCTTGCCACCTGCCTGCACACAGTACAGTCCATAGAATTTAGGCAGCAAAGTTCGAGGGTTCTGATTGAGATTCTAAGGGAACAAAAGTAAAACACAGTAAAGCAAGTTAGCTGCTTTCCAGTGAAATTCAAGGGCAAAGGTTGCCATCCATCCTCCCTTTGTCTCCTACATGGGATTCAGGCACAATCTGCTCATAAACCCACATCACATTGGGTCAAAATTTCCAAATGCATCTCAACAATGTGATCACCATCAACCTGAGCAACAGACCTTCCAACAAAGTAATCAGCTAAGATCCCAAACATATAATGGATATACTAATTCAAAAGGACAGTGTTTTTTTTTTTTTTAAATTCTTGTATTCCTAATTATAGTATATGTTCCTGGGGGTATTATGCAAAGCATAAAGTGTTTCCTAACTTCTCTAACACATAAGACAAAAAAAAAGCCCCCCCCCCGTTTTTGGTAATGAAGACTGAATCCAAGGGTGCTCTACCACATGAGCTATATCCCCAGCCCCACCTTTTGTAGTATTTTTGTTGTTGTTGTAGATGACAATACTTTTTATTTACTTATTTATTTATATGTGGTGATGAGAATCGAACCCAGGGCCTCGCATGAGCTAGGCGGGCGCTCTACTCTGAGCCACAACCACAGCCCATCCCCTAGCCCTCCCCCCTTTTTTGTGGTGCTGGGGATTGAACCCAGTGCCTTGTGCATGTGAGACAAGCACTCTACCAGCTAAGCTATATCCCCAGCCCTCCTCCAGCCCTTTTTAATTTTTATTTTGAAATAGGCTCTTGGGGCTGGGGATGTGGCTCAAGCGGTAGCGCGTTCGCCAGGCATGCATGCGGCCCAGGTTCGATCCTCAGCACCATATACAAAAAGATGTTGTGTCTGCCGAAAACTAAAAAATATATATTAAAAAAAATTCTCTCTCTCTCTTTAAAAAAAAAAAAAGAAAGAAAGAAAAAAGAAATAGGCTCTTGCTAAGCTGCTAGGGCTGGCCTTGAATTTGTGATCCTCCTGCCTCAGCCTCCCAAGTCTCTGGCATTACAAGTGTGCATCAACATGCCCTTCTACAAAACCCTTTTTAACCTAATGAGGCAAAAGTACAAAAACAAACAACTGTTAAGAAAACAACGCTGAACTGTCTTGGCTTGCTGAAGACAGCTTTATAGCCTTGTCCAGAAGTGTCCAGCAAAGGTGGCCAGTGTTCCTCTCCTCCTTACCATGTAATATCCTGGAAGCAACTTCTGCAGAAACTCCGCTTCTTTATGCTGGACTGTCTTGATGATGAATTCGTCATCACTGGACACGTAAAAAAGGGAACCACTA